CATCTAAACATAATCCAATGAAGTGAGAATGTAAAAGTAAATCATTTAATCATCAGCCTTTTCTTCTTTTGCTAACACAAATAAAACTTTGAAAATAACAATCTTGACCTTGGTTAAAAAATAATCCAATCCTTTCTATTCAGTCTCAATAAGATTATCATTTTCCTCTTCATCATCCAATTATCCTTTCATTTTAATATTATTTTAATTATAATCAATTTCTAAAATTTTAAATATGTTTATTTATTTTGTAATGAAAAAAATAATTATATATAATAAAAAAGCTGAGATTATTATTATTTAGATCTAATAGATGTATACTATTAATATTAAATTATCTTTCTAAATAAATAAATTAAATGAGAGCTAATAATTTCATATAAAATTAGCTTTATTTTATCTAATCAATTATCAAGGAGAACTAGTTAAGATCAATTTTATATTTAGTAATTTAATATATTTTCTAAAGACAATTATGATATTATTATTATTAAAAAAAAATGGAGTTCAGCTTGAATATTATATTTAGACAAAATAAAAATTACTTTTTCTTAGTTTATGTTGGAAAAAATGATAAAATTTTAAGTAGTCACAAAAGAAGATAAAATGAATAGTTTACAACCATTATTACCAAAAATTCAATTCAACATATCTGATAAATAACATAATTATACAGAGACTATTGATTCAATTGGAAATCGATAATGTGGAAGTTATCGTAATTATAGTTAGAAAAGAAATTAGATAAAATCTTTTAGAAGATCTAAAATTGTAGGCTATTCACAATTGATTAATAATTATAAAAATGCTAGTCGATAATCTTAAGAGAATCCATTTTCAGAAGAATTATTAATAAAGCAATTAAAAAATAATAGAAATTAAGAATAATTTTCTGAGAGATAATACACAGTAATGATGGATTACTAATAAAATAAATATCACACTATAGAAGCTACAACAAAGAATATAAGATATAAGTCATAACCTAAAAAATTAGAATGTAATGAACTGGACATGAAAATTACTCCTTATATACATTAAAATAAAAGATTTTAATGTATTGATTATTACTACATCATTTGAATATAATTTTTAATTGGTTTGTGTTTGATATAAGACTTAAACTCATTTCTTTCCATATGAGGTTTGATTAGCCATTTCTAAAACTTATTATTTGAAAATATGAATGACTTCATCAATAATAGCATTTTCCTCTATAATTAATAAAAAATTGCAATACCATTTCTTCTATTCAATTCAGTTTCATACAAATCTCTTAATTCTTATAAAGTAGCAGTAGCAGCATTGATGGCATTCTAAGAGTCCTTCAAAACACTGTTAGCTTTAGCTTAAACAGCAAGAGCAGCTTATTCTTACTTGAAAAAATGAGAGAATAAATTATACCACAACTAATTTATCTTATAATTGGGTCTTTCTTTCGATTTCATCATTAAGATGAGCAACTTCAGATTCTGTATCAGCAAGCCAATCAGCTAATTAATAATAAGCAGCAATTTCATTAGCTTCTAAATTAGCCAATGAAGCTTTTAATTAATCTTCTAAATCAGATAAAGCATTATAAACAAGTTATCCAACATTGTTACCTGGTTATCTATCAGAAGATGAAGATCCTTCATCCTATCCAAGAGCATGTAATTCTGCATTTCCAGATGCTTATTCAACTGCTAATTAAGCAAATTTGGTCATGGCATCTTGATTGAATAATTGACTATATTATTTTAATTTGTCTGAAACATTTTGAACATTAATTTCAACCATAGATGATGGTTATCCTGTTAAATATCCACTCAAATCATTTTTTAAGACTCTGATAACTCCAAGAGCATCATTATGTTATTTAATTGCTCTTACAAATAAACCATTTGAAAAACATCTTAATTCTTATAATTCAACTGATCTTCTATCAATATCAGCTAATCTTTAAGTTGCCCATGCAATATAATCTGTTGCTTCCTATAATAAATCATTTTAATTACTCTGTATTCAATACCAATTTATTCTCTTCTTGCTTTGGCACTGGCCCAGGCTTTTTGATTTAATTCATTAACTTTTGATAATGCAGCAATTCTAGCTTAACCAATTTCTTCATCTGAGATATTTTTTTCATCTGCAACTCCTTGGGCTTCAATATTGCTTGTTTTCAAATCATTCAATAAATCATAAACTGCTTAAACTGCATCATTTGATTCTGATCCTGTCTAAATAATTTATCATCTCTAAAGGTACTTGAAGAAGTAAGGAGAAATCTATATCGAATGCTGATACACTCATTAGACCTATCATTGCCAAAATTATGATCTTGTTCATTTATCTGAACTTTATAATTATAATATATAAAAACGGTATTGCAATTATTCATTTTAATAAATTCTGAACATAAATTCATAGTCCTACCAAATCTAATTTCTTTTATATTTGTGTATATTCACTTAAAGATACATAAAATACTATGAATTTATCATGCTACTAAGTTTATAAACTATATTAATATTTTATTTTTTATATATCTAACTGCTAATTATGAGTGACTCATTGAGATCACTGTCAACAAATCAATCAATCGAAGGACAGATAAGCAAAAAGAAAAAAGTTTAGTCAACATCTTCAAAGACTAATCGTCCTTAAAATATTAGTTATAATGAACTCATAGATTTATTGCATCCAAATCATTTATTCATAAATATTAGTTTGGAAGAAAAGTTCAATGCAATTGAAATGTATTATTATTCCAATATAGTAGCCTTGAATCCACTTATTTTCCGAATTTCAAATTCGTAGTTGATGAAAACTTAGAAGACACAGAAGTCAAATGGAAGCGCCTGCCTTCATTTATTAAATTGACTACCTGAAATAGGTATTATCTTGTAGTTTTCATATATAAGAAATAATCATTTAAAATCATACTCTCTCATTATCATTATCCTTATTTGTTCTTCTTATTCTCCTATACATTTATTAAATATATCAATATCCATAATATTAATAAAATCAAATCGCTAAATTTAGTTTTTCCAAAATAAAACCAATAGGCATACAACTGTCATAGTAACAATCAAAATACTGACCTAAGGTTATCCCTTATATTGTTAGAAGAATTCCTAACTGAACTTCTCTAAAGATGTAATTCTTTATAAAAAGTAGAATTCAATTATATTTCTAAACAGTTAAATTTCTATTTCTTTTTGTAATAAACTAAAAGCAAGAAAAATTTAAAGAAATTATTATGAATATAATTTTCTAGGTTATATATAGAAAATCATATATGTTTTGCCTAAAAGTCAGTAGAGGCTTCTTTGATTCCATCATGTAACTTTTTTAAAGCTTCTTGATATTAAATTAATGAAGCTTTATTTTAGCCTTGTCCACCTGTAGTAGTCTTTCCTGATCCACAAGAGCATTTCTTTACTTAAGATGATGTATCAGGTTAATCATTATTTCCTCTTAGTTGTTGGGCTGTCACACTTAGTATCAAAAATACAAGCAATAAAACTTTAAATATATTCATTATATTAAATAATAAAAAACGATTACTCTTATCAATATCGAAATTATAATACTTAAAATTAATCATTTTTTAGTAAAGATATCTTTGATTTCTTTTACTAAGTATGTTAAATGAATATTTTACAAATCTAACTTTGGATGGTGTAATGAATTCTTCATCATAAGATGATTATCTCTATTTCTTTAGATTATTTTATGCATCACGAATGAACTTCCAATCATCTTCTTAAGAATCATTAATATTTTGAGTATAATATCGAGAAGAGCATATCGAATCCTTCTTTTTGAGAGCACTCTTTAATGGTTATTCCTTCAACCTACTAGAGCTCTTTTAACTCAAATGTTATTCAAATTTTTCTAAAATTTATAATCTATCATGAAGGTATTCTATTAAAATCATACTTAATATACAATCATCTAACTATTCCAATTTTTTAATATAAACATGTCTAATTTCTTTCAATCTTTTATTTAATATACTTTATTCTTCATTATTAATTTTTTCATATTAAATGAAAGAATTGATACCTTCAGAATATGTCAATTTGGTATGTTCAAATGATTGTTATGTATTATTCCCTTATTTTTTATCTTTAACCGAAAATTCAATATTATCTGATAATAATGAAATATAACTCTTTTAATTTGTATCAATAGGAGATAATTATAATTGAATTGGCGTATTGCAGTTAGCATAATCACCAAAAATCATAGGTGATGAATTTTTTATTTTTTACATTGGATCTGAATCTATTGTTAGAAAAATATTATTATTTACAATCATCCATTTTGGTTTTGCATTGAATATTGAGTTTCTATATTACAGTATCAAAATCAGTACTTTAAACTAGTTTTTTCATTTATTTAGTGATTGTTATATTTATATAACTATAATTTAAAACAGTATTAAAATTATTTTTAAATATTCCAAAACCTCCTAGAATTGAAAGGATTTATTTTTTGTAAGTTAAAGAGATAATAAAAAAGAAGTGATAGTAAGTAAATAGAAAGAAAAAAAATTGATATAGATTAAATAATATTTAACATAAATATAAGTAAAAATGAAATAAAAAATTAATTAAAAATGAAAAGAATAGGAAAATTTTGATTTAGCAACCTATTATATTAAAATTAAATATGAACCTTAAAATTTAAATATCTATGCAAAAAGATAATCAAGATAAGTTATTTATTTCAAAACAGCAATTGAGGATAATTAAATAAAAACTGCTACATACAATTTAAAAATAAAGTATTTTTAGAAATTAAAAATCTTAAGGGAATTCAATTTTTAAGTAATTAAATCAATCTTTTTAGAAAATTAATTAATAAAAAACTAACAATTTATCATCAATAATATTTACTGATTTTTTGGAAGTCTGATTTAGAATAGTTATGGGAATTTCTAAGGATAAATTCGAAAACTATTCTTTTAATATTATTTATTATATTATTTTATTGATATATTACAAATTATGTCTGAGAGTGAAAATTTCAAATTAAGAAGAGAAATCATACAGCTTAAAAAACAGATTGAATAATTGAGAGAGGATGGTCGCTAGAAAGATTAAAGGATTGCCTTTTTGGAAGCAGAATAAGAATTTCATTAAGGAAGATATGAAGAATAGAAAGCAAAATATAATGATTGTTATACTAGAATGAGAGAATTAGAAAAGATGGTTAATAGAGATGATGCATATACAAAAGAGACCTTAAAGAGTTAATTAGATAAAGCAAAAGATGATTTAGAGAGAGAGAAGGCTGCTGTTTAATAATATATTGATTAATTAGAGAAAGTGAAACTTGAAAATGGTAATCTGATGTGGTAATTAACATAATTGTCATTGAAATACAAGGATGAAAATATAGTAAAGGATGAATTCCATTACAGAGATGAAGTTTAAGATAATAGAGAGAAACTTAAGAATTTAGTGGAAAAAACAAATGCATTGAATTAGGCAATTGAAAGATTAAGTGCTGAAAATAGAGTATTAAGGAAGATGGCAGGAGTTCCAGATGATTATTAATTTGAATTGGATGATGTGATTTAAGAGGGACAATTATAAGTAGAAAAGTACAGAGCTCAAGTGATTGAATTAGAGAGAGAAGTGGAAGAATTAGAAGAAGAGAGAGCAAGATTAAGAAGAAAATTGAGAGAATAAGTTGCTGGAGGAGAAGTCAATTTGGAGGAATTTGATTCTTAATCTAATAATCAATTGAGAAAGGAAAATTAAGAATTGAGAAGTAAAGTAAAGATGTTAGAAGAAGAAAATGCACATATTCGTTAAAATTAATAAGATTATGGAGGTATGGGAATGGGCACTTAATAAGGAATTATGAAAGTTACAAATGATTAAATGTAAGAAATGATGTAGAAATAATAACAGGAATTGAAAGAATAACTTTAAGAGATAGTAAAAACTATGAAAGGATAAAACTTTTAAGAGACTACATAAGTCAAATAATCAATTATATAATAAAAATAAGTTGTTGATACAACAGGATTGGATAAATTAAGTGTTCCTCCTAATCCAATTCCAGGAGCATTCGGAAATTATAATGATATTAAGGAAGGTTATAGTTAACGCTTTAATGTTAGATTTCCAGTTGATATGTCCTCAGCATATGGGGATTCTGGCATGGATCAGATGTAATTGAAATACGAATTAGCATCATTACAATTATAGAATATAGAGACTTTAAGATTATTATAATAGAAGGAAGCTGAGTATACAAATTTATTATAAGAAGTTACTACTATAAAAGAGGATGTAAAGGGAAAGTGTTTGTTGGTATAAGATTAATTATTTGTAAAATATATTGAAGAAAGAGACAAATTTAAAGTAATGTATGGAGAGATTCAAGAGAAATATAAGGCTTAATTGGATTTGAATGTGGAAGCCAAGATTAAATTAGCTCATTATGAAGATTTTATGAGAGATAGAGAGAAGCCAAAGAAAGAATTGGAAGATAAATTAGGAGAGATGTCTAAGAGAACTGCAATTTTAGATGTCAATTTGATTAAATTATCAAGAAAATATGATGCATTAACTGAAGAATATAAATAAATGAAGACAAGTTATACAATAGTAGAAAGTGAGAGTATAGCAAAAGAAAAGGAATTGTTAGAAAAAATATATAATTTGATTACATGGAAAAAATCAGCAGAAGAACATATGAAAATTATGATCAAAGAATTAAAGAATTCAGTACCAGCAGATGAATTCAACAATTTAAGATAAAAATTAGAATACACTTAGGATAAATTGGCTAATGCTTAATTGAAAGAGGCAGAGTTTTAAAAGAGAATTGCAGTTCTTGAGAGTCATGAAAGAGAAGCATTTGAAAGAGGAGAGAGAGTAAGATAATTAGAAGAAGAATTAGTTGAAATTTAATTGGAAGAGGAAGTTATTAAAAAAAGATTATAGAGTTTTGATCCTGCTTTTGATAAATACGTCAAGATATATCAACATATTGTTGAATTTATTAAAATTAAAAATATTTCAGTTATTGAAATATTTAAATTATTTGATGAGAATGGAGACAATAAAATTTCAAGAAATGAATTCACTACTGCTATTGGTAATATTGGAGTTCCTGTCACTAATGAAGATATGGAAATTGTATTCATGTTTGTAGATTTAGATGGAACTGGCTAAATTGAATATTAAGAATTTATAAGAAAACTTAAAAGATCAGGAATAAATCTTAGAAAACCAGAAGATTAATTATTATATTAATTATATAATGCAATAAAGGAATCAGGTTATGATTTACGATCTGCCTTTCAAGCATTTGATACTAATTGTGATAATATTATATCTAAAACAGATATGAAAGAAGCCTTAACTGAGATGAATATTAAACATGATTAAAAGGCAATAGATTATATATTTAGAATGGCAGATACTAGTGGAGATAATCAAATTAATTATGAAGAATTTTATGTATTGTTTGATGAGATTGTAAAAAGTGAATTAATCAATTAAGGAAAATCAATTTAATTAACTTTAGATATTAAGTATTAAATAATGTGTAAGTTGGATCAATCAATTAAAGATTAAAGATTAACATTATTAGATGTATTTAACATGATAGATAGAGATGGAGATTAAATAATTACATTAATGGAATTTTAAGCTTTATTCAGAGAGTTAGAAGGAGGTATCTCACCTGATTTGATTAGATAACTATTTGATTAAATGGATTTAGATCGAAATGGGTAAATTAGCTATAATGAAATGTTAAATTATTTAAGAACTGCTAAAACAGAGGAGGAAAAATATCAAAAATTATAATTTATTTAATAAAGAACAGAACAATTGAAAAGTTTATAGGAAACAGATCTTACACTTTAAAAAGCAAAATTAGAAAATAAAGGATAAACTTTAGAAGATAGATTAAAAATGAAAATAAGTATTTTGGAAATGAGAGAAAGAAATGCCTAATAAAAATGTGAAGTTCTACTTAACCAATTAACTGGTACTGAATTAAAACTAAAGGATACAACTAAGACATTATTTGAACTTTAAAATTAAATGGAAAGATCTAATGATACTTTTTATAAAGATAGGGAAGAAAAACTTATGTTGTTAGAAAGATTAAAGGGAGCTTTATCCAGAGATGAAAGTGAAAAATTGACTAAATAAATTGAACAATAAAGATTAACCATTTCTGATTAAAATAGTGCAATCACAACTTATAGACAATTATATGATACAGCCGTCATGTAAACCAAGAGTATGAAATTAACTATTGAAAAAATAAAAAATGATTCTGACACAATGTAATAAACAATAAAAGAATTATAAGCAATATCAGATTAAAATATGATGATTGGCAAATTATATCATCATCTTATGATTGCTAGATGGCATGAAGCATAAACTAATTAGAAATATGAAAAAGTATTGGATGAATTAAGAAAATTGAAATTATAATCTGAATCATATGATACTACAATTCTTAAACAATCACAAGAAATTATTTAATAAAATACTATATTTACAGAACAAATTAGATCATATGAATAGTAAATCACTGAACTAAAATTAAAAATATTACCAACTGTCACTTTATAAAGAGTTGAAGAATAAGCAAAAAGAGTCAAAGAATTATCAGATATGAAATCAGAAGTTGAAAGATAAAATAGAGAATTAAGAGATAGATTCTATGAATTATAACTTAAAGCAGATTATTTTGATAATTACAAAGAGAAATTAGATAATTTAGAGAGATCCTTAAGATAAAATAATCCTGATGAACTCAGTTAATAAATTATAGCAGTTAGTTAAAAATTATCAGATGAAAAAATAGAATTACTTAGAGTTAGAAGGGAAATGTAAGTGAGTGCTGAAAAACAAGAATATTATCAAAGATTGAATAAACAATATACCGATACAATTAAGAAGTTAGAATATGAATTAGCACATGCTGATTTGGATTTGAGAAAAAGGGAAGAAGATTGGAGAAAAAGATTTTATGAATAAAGAAAAACTATTTTTGCTTAATTAGGACTAATTGAAAAAGATGATATGAAAGAATTTTCTTAAAAAAATACAGATGCTAGTAAAATGTTGATTGATGTAATTTAGAAAAAATAGAAGGAATAAATGTAATAATAAAATGAGCCAACTGAATAATAGTAAATAGAAAACACTTAATTATAGAAAAGAATATAAGAATTAGAAGCTTAAGTTAAAGCAAAAAATATAGAGATTGAAGGATATATAGAAAGATAAAAGATTGTTGCAGGAGGTTCTGTAGTATTTCAATAATAATAATTGGAAGATTATACAAAGACACTATTAGCTTAAGAGGCTGAAAAAGTTTCTGTTGCTGGTTAATAAATGCTTAAGGCTATGTAAGAAATAATAAAGGATAAAGATAGAGAATTGGAAAGAAAAGAATAATAGATAGAAGCTATGAGATAAGAGACTTTATTGCATAAGAAAAAAGATATTTCAGAAATCTAAAGATTAACTGATTTATTACATAAAAGAGATTAAGCATAATAAGAAGCAAGCAAAATGGGTAATACTAATAATTACAATAATTTCTCATATTTGTAATAAAATTAGATGTCTGAATTATAACCAGTATTAATAGAAAAATATTAACAATAATTATCAGAAAAGGATAGGAAAATTAAAGATTTAGAATTATCATTTGAAGCAGAGAAAAATGCTTTAAAGAAAGTAAAAGAAGAATTAATCAAAACAATTGCAATTAAAGAATAATTAGAAATAAGTTTAGAGAATGAAAAGAAATTGAATGAAAGTATGTAATATGTATAGAAGATTGAGAAATTATAAAATTTAGTGAATGAAAAAAATACATAATTAGCTTCGTTAAAGAAAACTGTAGTTGCATTAAAAGATGAATAATTTAAAATAGCTGGAGAATCTATGAATAAGGAATAAGTTTATAAAACTAAAGAAGCTAAATTAAATAATAATACTACAGAACTTGAAACTAGATTAACAAAAATGGTTAATGATATGAAATTATTGAAAGAGGAAATTAAAGATAAATAGAAAAAATTAGAATAACTTTAAGAAAAGGAAATTTAAAATAGAGCATAAATGACAGATTTATAAAAGAAAAACTCAGAACTTAAAGCAATCATTTAAGCAGGAGGTGGTAAATTAGAAGAGTAAGATCAAACTGTATCTAATATTTAAGCTAAACTATAATAGTTTAATTAAATGTCAATGGAGAAAGTATAATTAGAAAGAGAAATTCAATTTTTAAAATAATAAGGAGGAACAAGAGAATTATTTGATAAAGATGCTACTTTAAAACCATCTACAGGTTTATATTTTAAAACATTCCCAGAATTGTTGGATACTCTTAAATAATATTTAATGACAAAACCAAAATTTGATTTACTTTTTGAATTTAAAAAATTAGATAAATAATCTTTATATGAATTGCCAATGGCAAAATTCTTTGAAGTTTTATCTAATGCTGGAGTAAAATTGAAAACAAGGTATTGTATAGCTTGATATTTTAGAGATTAAAAATTAGTAATTGACACAATTAAAACAAAAGAGGAAAATGCAGATTATTATTTTAAATTTTACTATGTTTATAAGGGCTGGTCTGATAATGTTGTTTAAACTGATTAAGATGACAAATCTTAATAATAATAATAATAATAACAACAAATTTAACAACAACAGTCTTAAAAATTTAGTTTAAAAAATAAAAAATGAGAAGATTGTAATTGAAATAAAATAAATAATTAATTATTTACTCAATTCATTTCTATAGATAAATTATATTTTTTATATTTACCAGTTGAAATTCTTGGTTTTGAAGTATTTGTACTGGATCTCCTTTTTATATTATAAATTTTTACTATTTTATATTTAACTAAGGTTTAATCTACATAGTTGGTTATTATTTTTATTAGAATTATTGTTATTGCTGTTTTTAATGCTTTTTATTTTATTATTATTTCATTTAATTTAGATATTGAATTGTACTTTAGGCTCTTACATCCATTCCAGTATTACATCTAGATTGATTAGTAACTGTAGTTTTATTTTTTTAATTATTATTATTTGATAGTCTAGCTTTCATTTCTTCCATAGGTTCAGTAGAACATCGATTCGAATTTCTTTGATAACTGGATAGAGAAGAGCGATTTAGTAATTATTTTTTTTGTAGTATTTATGCCACAGTTAAAGCTTATTACTATAGATCCATAGTTTAACTATTAATATTAACATTAAGATTGATATGACTATTATTAACATTAAAAATGTTATTGGCTTTAGATGGATTGCTCTTACTTTTCTATTTCGATAAAATGGCTGCTAAATTGGTTTTACTGAGAGACTTTTTAGATTCAGTTGGAATGGACTTCTTCACAGAGGAGGTTTTGGTATCTATTTCAAAGGGTCTTTGATTTTTTTTACTTATACTTCCGTTGATAATGACTATTATAATGTGTTGTACTATTGGAATTGCTCTTAGCTCTGGAGGCACCCTTTTATTCACATTTTTTCTTAACAAAATCTTTGCAATTTATTGTATGCAACTTCCTTTCTAAATCATTTAAGATAGTTCTATATGTTTATTATGTAGCAGGATGTTTTGACTTTTTAGGTTGAGGAGGCTTTAATTTTTATTAATAAGGTTTTGGCTATAATACAACTGCATCTTCTGATAAATGCTCAGATGAACTATTAAAATTGAAATTTAGATCTAATTGATCTTCTGATTTTTCATTTCCTTCTGTTTTTAAACGATGTGGAGATTCAATTGTTTAATATTTATCAGGTGTTTCATCAAAAGGAATTCGAGGAAACACATAATCCTATTTTGATTATCTAAATTTGAATTCAATCTCTTCTCTCTATTAACATCTATTTGAATATAATGGTTGGCAAACTTGCATAAAGTAATCATCCGTTCTATTTGAAGAATCGCAATTAAATTTATCAGTCATTTGTGAATATATATCATCCATTTCTTACAATTATATTAATAATAATAGTAATAAATAATAAATATTATAGTTACGACCTTTATTTCTTTATTAATCTATATCCTAGAACAACTCTTAATTGCAATTCTATTTATTCTAGTAGTTCTATTCATATGTTAATGAATTTTTTAAAAGCCCTCACTATACAATTTTAATTTATTAACTAATTCCTAATTCATTTTCATTAAAACATCTTTATATGTTTTATTATCCATTTTAGTTCTTGTTTTAAACACTTTTATAATTCTATCATGTTTTTTTATTTATTTTAGTCTTATTTACTTCATAATTTGCATAAGAATAGTTTTAATATTAAAAATGAAGCTGTGTTTTTTTTAATTACACATCTATCTTAATAAGTCATTCTATTATTATTATATCATCATCAAATATTTTCTTAACTTTGAATCAATCTAAATTTATCTTATATCATTACTCATACAGTTGTATGTTCATTAATAGATTTGTTGTTTTATAATTCCTATTGAAATTTTAACCCAATTATTTTAATGTATTCATTACTATATGCTAATTATTATTATTACTATATAGTTCACGTATCTTATATTAAATATTTCGTGTTCCTCATAACTTTATGTAAATTTTAATAATTATTTTGCAAAATCTAACAATTCTTATTCTAATGTAAATTTTTTAAAGGATCTCTTTTATTATTTTGTTTAATTCTTGTTTTAGAACGCTGAATTTTTACAAGTTCTATTATTTAAACCTTTTATAATATAGAAAGTCAAAAGAAGCCATATGACTATAATTTTCAAAAAAAATTTCTTGATGATTAAATTACAAGTTATCTTACTAATTAATTTCGTTTAATTTTTTCTAATGTAAAATATTATTTCTCTTAATCTAAAATGTCTTTGAATTTTTTAATTATTAATTAGTTTATTAAATAATTTTTAGAATTTAAGCATCGTAGTATTAGATTAATACCCTATTTCTCATTTCATATTCAAAGTATTTTAGATACTCTTATTGTTTTTAATATTCAAAAAATGTGATTTTAAATATACTATTCTTATGTCTTTTTTGTAAGACTCTTAATAGATAGATTTATACATTAATAATATAATTTTATTTAAAATTAATTCCTTTCATATATTTAGATATTAAGAAATATTTTATCCTAGAAATTACAATTATTATTCATATATAAAAAATAATAAACTGGGCTTTTCCTTTAATATTATTTCTCATAATTAATTATTATTTATTAATTTAAATTATAATATAAATGAATACAAATAGAACTGATAATGGTTTATTACAGGATGTTTATTTTGGTCCTTGTATTTTAATTGATTCTGCCCATGTAAACATCTATAAGAAAAATTCCCCCTCTAAGAATTCAATAACTTCGGATATTAGTTAGAAGGAAATCGAATAATCTAATAATGTTTCTCAAAATGCGGAAGTGTTACCATTAAATCTTCAAATTTAGAAAGCTAAGCAAAACTTCAGGAATAAGGGCAATCTTAATTAATAATCATAAAGTAATTTCATTAAGGGCAGCAAGAGACAATTACTGGAACCAAAATAATAGAAATTGGAACGACCTTCTTTTATGAGAACCCTAGTTAAAAATAACATCATCAATAAATTTAAAAATAACCTATTTTCATCATCATATGTCCTTCCAAATTAAATGAAATACATCTTAGAAAATGAAAGCTACATATAAGAATAAAAAGAAAAAACAAAAGTTAATTAAACCAAAATAGAGATGAAGTATTACAATTATATCTTTAAGTCAGTAAAGAAAATGGACAAGCAAGCAAAGTTTCTGAATTAAGTATACTGCTTATGCCTGGTAAAAATCTAACAATTTTATGGGATTTCATTTCTTTATTTGTTTTGTTTCTAAGATTATTTTTTTGCACTATGATTTCATCCTTTGGTTAATAGGATAAATTTTTCAAAGGAATTGAATTTTTCTTTAATATTTACCTCCTATTTGAAAGTGTCCTAACTATATATAGGCCTGTTATTCTCTAAGGTGAAATCGTTAGCGAACTTTCGTAAATTTGGATTCTTTATTCGAAAAATTAAATGCTAGAAGATTTATCAAGTTTCATTATTTGGTTTTTGATTTATTTTGATTTGAATGAAATCTTAGTATTAAATGAAATTTTAGCCATATCATAATTTGTATTAACAGTTAGATAAATAGCAAGAAAATATAATATTCAAATTGAATAATTATATTTAAAAGGATTTAATAGTCACTTTCTAGATTTAATAAGTCTATTCATTATTATTTGTTTCTTTGCTCACTTAATGGCTTGTTTATGGCATTATATTGGTTATATTACTTTGAATTAAGGTTCATGGTTAACATATTATGAGATCACAAATGAAAATATTTGGGTGAAATACAATATTTCATATTATTGGGCTACAATGACAATGGTTACTGTTGGATATGGAGATATTACACCTAAAAATTAAGTTGAAGTAACATTTGTATCAATAGTAATGATATCTTCTAGTTGTATGTTTGCTTATTCAATGAACTCAATAGGAGTTATAGTTAAAACTATTTATGATGAAAAGACAAGATTTAAGTATTGATTTATTTATATAATAATAGGAAAACATTAATATTGATGAATAAATTTATGTCAAATAATGAAGTAGATTCTTAAATCTAAAGTAGAGTTAAGAACTATATTAAATTTAGTATAGAACATGAAGTATTGGAGAATAAAGAAGAAACAACTAAAATCATAAATGATTTACCAGTTGGTTTAAGAAAAGAATTAGAATCAGATATATAATAAAAAACTATTTAAAAGATAAAGATCATAACAGATTATTTTTCAATTCAAACTTAAGATTAAGTAAAAAACATTCTAATACCAGTCAAATTTACCCCAAAAGACATAATATATCATAGAGAAGATGTTAAAGATAAAAATTTGTATTATAATGTATAAAATATTTTAGATATTTCATTTCAGAAGGGGAAGTACAAATTTTAGAAGAGCAAAGTTAAAAGATTATAAAAAGATTAAAAGCAGGAGATGTTTTTGGTGAATTTTAATTTTTTACAGGATAAAATACTAAAGAATCTACTATAAGTGTGGGATTTACATAATTATATCGGATAGATAGAGATAAATTTATAAATATCATTAAATAAACACAAAAAGATTATGAAAAATTTCATAAAATTAAAGATTCTATTTTATTTTCTAAAAATTATACAAGCATTTTAACTAAATGTTTTTTATGTAATAAATTCTCACACAAAGATATTGAATGTCCTTATTTAACATATTAACCTTCTAAATATTTAAAAATCTTAAAATTTAATAAATTTGATCATAATGAAAGATAAAAATATAAAAGAAATGAAAGTAAAAAAATAAAAGCATAACTTGATTAATAATAAATTGAAGCAAGTATTAGAGAGTTTTAAGAATTTTTATCAGAATCAATTTTAGAAGAATTCAATAATTAAGTTTTAACATATTAAGTATCTGACACTAGTGGTTAAGTAGAAACAATACCAATAGAAGAAATGGGAGAAAAATCTATGAATTCTATTAATAAAAATATTCAATAAAATGGAATAAGAAGGGGATCTTATACACCAAATTTGGATAATAATAATATTAATAATGAAAAAAAGAAATCTATAGTTATACCTAAAAAAAAATTATCTTTTTCAGAAGATGAGAGAAGAAGAACATAAATTTATAGAGAAACTTTAATATTTAAATAATTAGATTAATTTTAGGTTAAATAATAATTCTATGTATTGGAAGGATTTGATAAAATGTAAAATTATATAGATTATTTTCCATATAATAATGCAAATTAAGTAATCAGAAATGCTAATAAAGAAAAACCAAAAAGTAAATAAATTAAACCTTAAGTCTTTAAATTTTCTAATAGTTTTAGAGTGATGAAAAATATGTGATTTTTTATATTTGTAATTTGAATAATCATTTCTTGATATTATTAATTATATCAAATATTTCTAATTTAATCAATTAATTTATTATTTAAAAAGATAGATAGAAGCTATCATTTAATATATATCATTTTAATATTAAAATTAATTAAGAAATCAACTTAAAAGAAATTCTTTAATTTGATCTCTATTTATTATTGAGCTTTACTCAAATATTCTTCCAATTTAGAAATCAAAATTAGGTAATCTATTAATAAGTGGAGATGAATCATGACAATCCTCAGTATCACATCTTTGCTTATAGAGATTATACAAAGTTGAAACTTATTCATAAGCATCATTCAAAGAGATTCTGTCAGATATATTTTTTTCTAATAGAGATTTTAAAAGATTCTATAATAATAGATAAATAATTTACAAAAATACTAGGTGACAAAATATTAGATTTTTGTTTTTAAAAATTTATTTAACAAATTTTATTGTTATGTATTAGCTATTCAACTGTATCGCCTTTAAAAGGTAATTCATTAAATAATCTAAAATAATCAATAATTTAATTACAATTGATAAAGCAGACAACCACTACTAAAAACATCACAACTAAATGAGTAATAAGTACATTGAGAATTAAGCACTTCTGGTGCTGCATATCCAGGTGTTCCACATTTATACAAAAGATATCTGTTAATGTTGGTAAAGGTTGCAAATCCAAAATCAATTATAGTTAGAGAATTGAAATCATCTTCTTCAGCTAAAACTAAATTTTATGGTTTAATATCTCTATGTATAATCTATATATAAATTTCTATTTACTTTCAATTAAGATAATTTAATTAATGCTTCAAATAGCCGTTTCATTATAGAGAATATTTAAAACAATGAGAATGTTTTATTCATTTTTTTATTATTTTCCAGATAATGAGATAATGAATATCCTTCCAAATATTTCATGATGATTAAATAGTATTAATCATCCTAATATAAATCTTCAATTTTCACAAAATAATCATATCCTTTGACTATATTCATCAATGCTATTTCTTATTCTAAGATTGACTTAAGTTTATATATATTATTTTACATAATTTAAAGGTGTTAAATCTTTTTTGCTTATATATTTAACAGCTAATTCATTACCAGTTGATTTACATTAAATTTTTTTCACATTTCCTGAAGACCCTTTACTTATCTCACTTTTTACATTGAATAATTCATCAAAATTAGTAAAACTACATCTACAACTAAGCAAATTCTTTAATCTAATATTTAATTCTTGAAATAATATACTTTTTAAGTCCATCAACATCTTTACAAATGAAATTTTTAGATTTTTTCTTTATTTTTATTGTGAATCCAATAAATTTAGGTAAACTATCTTCAATTTTGATTATCCACTTAATTTGAGTGATTATTCTTATCAAAAGTTGATATCTGAATATATAAACTCCTTGCATTAGCTTAATATATAAGAATGTGATTATTATACCTTATAAAATAAAATTTTATCTCCGATATATGTTAATTCATAGGGATGATCAAAAAATATATTTTTACTGTAAACCTATAAAGTGAGATTAGTTTAGTTATTCATTTTAGTGAATAATTATATTTATTATGTTTATTTGTGTGAAGTATAGTTTTTATTATTTAATTAAACTCATAGTTAATTAAATTCCTAAATATTTCAGTAAGAGTAATCCCAGATTTTTAGGAAACAAGTTTCAATAGATATACAAATTTAATATAAATACTCAAACTATTTCTAACTTTAAAATAATAAAATTATTATCATAAATATTAAATTAACGTAAAAATTTGGATTTTTATTCTAGTAAATAGTTTTCTTTAATTGTTTTTATTATCTATAATTAAAAATTTTTTAATTTTAATGAGAGCATGGTAGCCGAATTTTAATTATTAGATTTTTTGTATTTTTGTATTTTTATGTTGTATTTTTAAATGATTCATTATAATAGATAATTTAAATACAAAATAATAATAATGATTGGGATTTATTGAATTTCAATTTTAATACTTTAGAATCAATTTTATAAAAAATATTTATTTTTTTTATTGTTTTTATAATCTTTATAGATAATTTGTTAGTAATAACAAAATTAATATGATTCATCAAGATAGGAAAAATAACATAAATAAAAAAGAAATCATTAAACGATACACTTTCATTTAACATTTAATTTTAGATCGAATCTAACCTTTTTTTTCACTACTTCTTTATTTTAGGCAGAACCTTATTTTTAACAATATTTTAGTTCATGTTTCAGTATTGTTTTTTTTGTATTAGTATCATCACAATGAAGTGATTCAGCAGATTCTGAAGATGAATCATTATTATTTGGAATGCAATCTTATAAGAATTAATGAGACTGTTGTATCGATTCAACTGCATCAATATCACCATTAACTTCCTTTATTTCTTGATTGTCTCCTTCCAATTTATGTGGTTCATGAATATATGTAACAGAGGCTTCTTCTTTAAAATTTTCATCTTATTATTGACATTTCTCTTTGTTTAATATATTTGAAGATGAGCTGCTTTTCTTTTATGAGATATTTGAAGTAGTAAATTAATTGAGATTTGTTAATTCATATGGTTTATCATTATATTGCCTACAGCAATTTGCACCCATCAGTATTTTTAATTTATATATATAATAAATCAATAATATAGATTAGCTTCTTGTATTTGATTCAATACAAGATGCACTTGATCAGCAAATTTATTTTGTTAATTAATCAACTCCTTTTTAATTGCTAAATTTTTAATCAAAACCTTTAAATATGTTTTCTTCATTTCATCAAGTTATTCAATCTTTTTTTCTTTTTAAGCTTCCATCTCTCTAATTTTATAACTTTATTCTGTAAAAGTTTCTAATAGTTAATCTAATTCCACCTTCTATTCATATTAAATTTGCTTATTTTCTTACATTTCCTTTTACCAAATTCTCTCATCATTTGTTTTTAAAGCATCCTTTAAATCCTAGAATTTGACTCTTAACCATTAATAATCTTATGAATCTAATTATAACACTGATTATTCTTAAAATTCATTAAAAAATGCTCGAACTGGTTTTCGCTTCTTTTATTCTTCTTAATCAAATTCCAAATATCTCAACTTTACAACATCTAATTCTTCTACTTCATCTTCTTAACCTTTATTTTTCTTTGTTGTAAAACATTACATAGTATTAATATTTTAAAAATATAAAATATATAAATAATTCTAATATCTCAATAATATTAAATTGCTATTCTTTCACTTATAAATATAATACTTTCATATATAAATCATATTGGAATTATTTTGATAATTCAAAATATTTTATATATATAATATTTATAATACAGTCAGCTTATTATTAAACAAGATATATTACTAATAAGTATTAAATTAAAATAATTATAGTATTATGATAATTGTATTTTTAATAATTAAAGTATAATATGATATATAAAATATTAAATATTGAAAATTATAGATAGTCAGAGTGATTCTTCTATTTAAAAGTTCTAATTAAGTATTGTTATTTTTAATTTTGTTATTAAATTAATTCAATTAATATTAATAATTCAGTTCAGTCTAATATATTAATAATTAAACCAATAAACTTAATATTAATCAACTTATCATTAGAAAATAAATTATAATACACCACAGTAATTTTTGATAAAATAAGTTTTTTCTTTCATGTTTAATTGTTTATTGTATTAATTTATCAACACAATGTATCTAATGACAGAAATTCATTAGTAAATAGACTTTTAAAAGATATCTAAATTAATTGGAATATTTCTTATATTTTTATTGAAAGAAGAAATCATTTAGTTTAAAAAATAATTTGAATGATTAACATTAATGAATAGATGTATATAAATTATGAAATGTCTAGATTTTAATGATTTTTAGAGTATTCATGAAATTTATATGGATTTATACAGGTTAGAACAAGAAAGAATAGAATTTTGATGTGAGAAGTGTATTTAATTGATCTTATTAAGTGTTATTGGAGGAACACTCATTTTAATTTAAAATAAACATTATTAAAATATACATTATTAAGGAAATAAACCGAAAACTCATTTTTTAAAGCCAAAACAATAAATGATTCAATATTATAATTATAGCAATGCAAAATCCCAATTTCATGCCTGTTCTTATTTACTCTTAACCTACAGGATATCCTCAATATTATCCCATGTACTATATGCCATATATGTCAAACTATATGATACCTTAATATCAAAATACTTAAGAATCTGATATAAATTAGATAATCTCAAAATCTAGTGATTAAAGTTAATTTTCTAATCAAAACTTTGATCCAAATAATCAATTAAATTTTGAATCAATAAAAAAAAATAAAAATGAAACTGCAGTTGAAAATAATGAAGAAAATTAAACAAATACAGAATCAAATAAACCGAAATAAAAATCTGGAAAAAAGAAGATTAATCTCTTATAAAAATCTACTAACATTTAGAAAAATTATGCAAAAGCAATCGTGTCTTATGCTTGTGGACAGAGAGTTATAATAATAAATACTTTAGGAAAGAAGAAAGGGATAGAATTTTTAAAGATAATTAATCAACTTAAAAATAAATTAAAAAATATTAACCATATAAAAAACTATACATAGAAAGAATCATACTTAAGTATGTTTAGAATATTGGGGTAAATATTTATAATAAATATTTTTAGGAATAAATTTTTGAAGAATGAAGCCGTTAGTTATATCTATCATTCCAATATCTAATAGAAGAGTTGCCATCTTAAACACTTAAAGATGATCGAGCAAAACTTATTGAAGTGCTGATCGAGTTATATGATATATATTTATATATTAATTTTGGTAGTAATTAAAATAACAAATACATTAATCTAATTAAATATTATAAAACATAGAATAATTAAATAATAAATGAAAACAGGAAATATTTTTAATCCTAGAAGTGTACTTGATTTAACATACAAAATAACAGCTATG